TTGTTTGTTCTATATATATATATATATATATATATATATATATATATATATATATATATATATATTATTTATTTATTTCAAATTTTATTAGTTATATTGGAAATGCAAAATAAACCCCTTCATGTCCCTGTTTTATGATTGTCATCCACGAACACCCAAAAAAAGATAAAAAATTAAAGTTGAAGAAAATAGAATTGAATTTCTAGTGTAAGTTACGCATTTGTCTTGTGCAATGTTTATGTAATACACATACTGATGATTCACTTTCTTGTCTTCAGTTTCTTGAGCCTCTTGAGCTGTGTTATAGATCACTTTGCGCTTGCGGTGATCGGCCCATTGCCGATGGAAGCCTTCTTGATTTCTTACGGCAAGTTTCAACGTGTGGGCTTGCACTCGTGAGACTTAATGTAAGGCAAGAGTAAGATAGGCACACTGATGTTCTAGATGCTATTACAAGGCACCTGGAGATCGGGTCGTACAAAGAATGGTCAGAAGAACGCAGACAGGAGTGGCTTTTATCTGAACTCAGTGGCAAGCGACCTCTTTTTGGGCCCGATCTTCCCAAAACTGAAGAAATTGCCGATGTGTTAGACACTTTTAATGTCATTGCTGAACTACCCTCCGATAACTTTGGGGCCTACATAATTTCAATGGCAACTGCCCCGTCTGATGTCCTTGCAGTAGAGCTTTTGCAACGTGAGTGCCATGTCCAAAATCCTCTGAGGGTTGTCCCATTGTTTGAAAAGCTTGCTGATCTTGAGGCTGCACCTGCTGCTGTGGCTAGGCTTTTCTCAATAGATTGGTATCGTAACAGAATCAATGGGAAACAAGAAGTCATGATTGGGTATTCTGATTCAGGAAAGGATGCTGGACGGCTTTCTGCAGCATGGCAGTTATATAAGGCCCAGGAGGAGCTTGTAAAGGTTGCAAAACAGTTCGGTGTAAAACTTACAATGTTTCACGGCCGAGGTGGGACTGTTGGAAGAGGAGGGGGCCCAACCCATCTTGCTATATTATCTCAGCCACCGGACACCATTCACGGGTCACTTCGTGTCACTGTTCAAGGTGAAGTTATTGAACAATCATTTGGCGAGGAGCACTTATGTTTCAGAACGCTCCAACGTTTTACTGCAGCTACACTTGAGCATGGAATGCGCCCCCCTGTTGTACCGAAGCCAGAATGGCGTGCTCTCATGGATGAGATGGCTGTGTTTGCCACAAAAGAGTATCGTTCTGTAGTTTTCCAGGAACCTCGTTTTGTTGAGTACTTCCGGCTTGTAAGTATTTTTCCACTTTGGTTATTTTTTGTTAGAATCTGCAAAAAAATCACATATAAGCACATTAAACTTAATAGGTTTACACATGTTGACTGGTAACTCCTAGAAGTGGCAATATAAGTTGGCATCAAAGTTGCCAGTTTGAATTGAGAAGACTGATAATTGGCTTACCCCTAAATTGTGAATTGGGGTATTGTAATATTTTCTTGTTTCTCTCTCTCTGAGTATTGCAGGCAACACCTGAGTTGGAGTATGGTCGGATGAACATAGGGAGCCGCCCATCAAAACGAAAGGTTAGCGGTGGAATTGAATCACTCCGAGCAATCCCGTGGATATTTGCATGGACGCAGACGAGATTTCATCTTCCTGTCTGGCTTGGCTTTGGAGCTGCAATCAAACACGCCATTGGGAAGGATATTAGAAATCTTCAGACTCTCAATGATATGTACAAAGAATGGCCTTTCTTCCGAGTAACCATTGACTTGATTGAAATGGTTTTGTCCAAAGGAGACCCAGAAATTGCTGCTTTATATGACAAACTTTTAGTGTCAGAAGACTTGTGGCCATTTGGGAAGCAACTGGGGAACAATTATGAAGAAACTAAGAATCTGATCCTTCAGGTAAGGGCCGTCTTCTATTTAATAACCTTTTGCATAACTAGGACACGATTTTTTCTGTTCTTCCAAGAAATAGAAGGGGAGAAAACTTCGAGCTGAGAATACATGGTGGAAATTATTATTATTATTATTATTATTTTACATTCATTCTTTTCAGTTTGGACAGTGATTAAGTAAACTTCAATTGCTACTTTTTTCATGATTAGTGTTTAGTGCAACTTCCGCCTTGTAAGGGTTGTCTTCTATTTAAAAACCTTTCTTCACTAGAACATGAATTTTTCTGTCATAACTCCCAAGAAGCAGAAGGGGGAAAAACTTCGAGCTGAGAATACATATGGAATTTTTTTTTTCTTTTATTTATTTTTAGAAATAAAGTAACTGCAATTGCTACTTTTTTCATGATTAGTTCAACTTCCATTTAATGGAAGGAAGCTGATATGGTCTCTCTCTGCCTAGGTTGCTGGACACAAGGAACTTCTAGAAGGCGACCCCTACTTAAGGCAGAGACTTCGACTTCGCGATCCGTACATCACCGTCCTTAACGTGTGCCAAGTCTACACATTGAAGCAGATACGTGATCCAAGCTACCGCGTTAAGGTGAAGCCACATCTCTCGAAAGATGTAATGGAAATGGATATGAGCAAACCGGCTGCTGAACTGGTGAAGCTCAACCCTAAAAGTGAGTATGCTCCCGGGTTGGAAGACACACTTATCTTGACCATGAAGGGTATTGCAGCTGGAATGCAGAACACCGGTTAAGGTCGGGTCATCTTGCCTTTGCTAGATATATGGTGTCGGTTAAATTATAAAGAAATAACGAGTTACGTATTATGGCACTCTGTTGGAAAATATGTGATAATATTGCTCTATAAGCATGTACTCACACCAAGTACATATGAATGAATATACGTGTCTTCTTTTTCTTGCATAAATCTTGTATACATATGCATATGTGACTTTTCCCATCATCAGTAACAAGAATGAAGTATGTACAATAAGCCAAATTAAACTTGTGTTTTTCCACTAGCTACAATTATTGCCTCTTCAATAGCCTGGAAAAAAGTGGCAATCTTGTATGTCAAGAATCCCGCGAGCATTGATATCAACTCGAGGTGCATGAATCCATAATCCGGAACCAGAATCCTGTGTACAGATCAGTTTGATGAGATACCTACCTATAATCCAAGAATTGATATTGAACATGACAAGGAGATTTGGCAAACTTATGCTCTTTCTCAAGTTCTTACCCGTTCCACCTGTTATACAACATGACGAAGACAACATGAACCAATAACCTTGGCTGCTCAATTGCTCCTCCACGAGTAAAAACTTCTGATGAGCAAACCATATGGAGCCTAGTAGGTCATCTTCGCTCTTCCTAAAATAGAATATTGCAATGATATGACTCAACTTCATACCATAAACTTAATAAAGCCAAAAACATGTACAACCTCAAGTTTGAAGGATTAATGTAGCCAAGTCCAAACTCATTGCAAATAGCTTAGGGTGTGTTCTCTTTCTCATTTTCGGCCCGTTTTTTGTTTTCGATTTTTCAAAACAGTGAAAACTTGTTCTCTTACCCATTTTCGAAAACATGTTTTTGAAAATACAAAAAAATTGTGAAGAAAACGAAAAACGATCAAAATGTCGTTTTAGCTGTTTTCTATACAAAACTCCAAAAAATTACAAAATAGGGGAAACGCCTTTTGAAATACAAAACCAAATCTTCATCCACTTTCTTCAAATCCTTTCTCTGCCTTCTCTCTCTCTCTCTCCTGGACGTTAACTGTGGGTGATTGACCCTGACTATGGATGGTCACACACTTCAGCTAATGACGAAGGAGATGTACTGGTGTCGGCACCAACGTGGGGATGCGATGCTGCTATGAACGTAGTGTCACGACCCATTCATCGCGATAGCAGCATCGCGAACCGATCAAAGAGAAAGAAGCTGCAGTTCATTGCGATGGGTGATCGACACTACAAATTTGTCCAGAATTTCCCTCTCTTTTGAGTTTTCTTTTTTTGTTTTTTTTTTGTTTTTTGGATTTGGGAGGCGATGGGTGTTGATGGTGGTTGTAATGGTCTATTTGTGGTGGCAGTGGTTGATGGTGGTGGGTGGTGTTGATTTTGACAATGGTGAGTGGTTCAGGGTGGTGGTAGTGGTTGATGGTTGGTGGTGTCAGTGGTGTTGTTTAAATTTTCAGCTTGCAAGTTATGAACAGCTTGACACGAGTTTATAACGTGTTAGATGCATTATTGCTGTCATTGGAGATATGCAATTGCTTTTCTATGCGCAATTGCTTGTGGGCTTGATCAACTATCTCAATGGATTAGTATATTATCACTCTCAGCCAACTCATTCTACAACAGGGGCTTCATTTCTTAGCTTCTCTTCGTATTATAACTATTAAGATTTTAATATATAACCAAAATAAAAATAAACATATGTCTTTTCACCTTGTCCAATGAATAGGTTATTTTAAGTGATGATTTGTGGTATTTAATTAATTGGTTTAATCCACCTTGCTTTTTGGTTGGTTTGTTTTGAATTACTAACAAATGGAGAATTTGAATAGATTGAATGGAATTTATGCTTTTTGAGAGCGAAAGGTTCTGATAGAAGAGAGTAATCATACACTGCAGTAGGAAACTATTGCTGATGAATGTGGTGAAGAATAAGGTGCCATATTGACCATAAAGAGTAACAAGAAACCAATTATAGAAGAGAAATTGACTTCTGGAGAATTTAATGATGGATTGATGTATGAATATACTTTGAAGTATACCTTCAAAACAAACATTTCTATATGCATTTAGCTTACTGATTGAGCGTGCATATCGTTTAGGTTAACTTTTCTTTGCCATGAGAAGTTAAAACTAAATATGGATTGGGCTAACGTTCACCTAAATAGCTGCAGTCATTAGAATGCTAGAATTTCTTAAGCGCTTGTATCTGTTAAGTTTGTTCAATATATATATATATATATATATGGAAATGCAAAATAAACCCCTTCATGTCCCTGTTTTATGATTGTCATCCACGAACACCCAAAAAAAGATAAAAAATTAAAGTTGAAGAAAATAGAATTGAATTTCTAGTGTAAGTTACGCATTTGTCTTGTGCAATGTTTATGTAATACACATACTGATGATTCACTTTCTTGTCTTCAGTTTCTTGAGCCTCTTGAGCTGTGTTATAGATCACTTTGCGCTTGCGGTGATCGGCCCATTGCCGATGGAAGCCTTCTTGATTTCTTACGGCAAGTTTCAACGTGTGGGCTTGCACTCGTGAGACTTAATGTAAGGCAAGAGTAAGATAGGCACACTGATGTTCTAGATGCTATTACAAGGCACCTGGAGATCGGGTCGTACAAAGAATGGTCAGAAGAACGCAGACAGGAGTGGCTTTTATCTGAACTCAGTGGCAAGCGACCTCTTTTTGGGCCCGATCTTCCCAAAACTGAAGAAATTGCCGATGTGTTAGACACTTTTAATGTCATTGCTGAACTACCCTCCGATAACTTTGGGGCCTACATAATTTCAATGGCAACTGCCCCGTCTGATGTCCTTGCAGTAGAGCTTTTGCAACGTGAGTGCCATGTCCAAAATCCTCTGAGGGTTGTCCCATTGTTTGAAAAGCTTGCTGATCTTGAGGCTGCACCTGCTGCTGTGGCTAGGCTTTTCTCAATAGATTGGTATCGTAACAGAATCAATGGGAAACAAGAAGTCATGATTGGGTATTCTGATTCAGGAAAGGATGCTGGACGGCTTTCTGCAGCATGGCAGTTATATAAGGCCCAGGAGGAGCTTGTAAAGGTTGCAAAACAGTTCGGTGTAAAACTTACAATGTTTCACGGCCGAGGTGGGACTGTTGGAAGAGGAGGGGGCCCAACCCATCTTGCTATATTATCTCAGCCACCGGACACCATTCACGGGTCACTTCGTGTCACTGTTCAAGGTGAAGTTATTGAACAATCATTTGGCGAGGAGCACTTATGTTTCAGAACGCTCCAACGTTTTACTGCAGCTACACTTGAGCATGGAATGCGCCCCCCTGTTGTACCGAAGCCAGAATGGCGTGCTCTCATGGATGAGATGGCTGTGTTTGCCACAAAAGAGTATCGTTCTGTAGTTTTCCAGGAACCTCGTTTTGTTGAGTACTTCCGGCTTGTAAGTATTTTTCCACTTTGGTTATTTTTTGTTAGAATCTGCAAAAAAATCACATATAAGCACATTAAACTTAATAGGTTTACACATGTTGACTGGTAACTCCTAGAAGTGGCAATATAAGTTGGCATCAAAGTTGCCAGTTTGAATTGAGAAGACTGATAATTGGCTTACCCCTAAATTGTGAATTGGGGTATTGTAATATTTTCTTGTTTCTCTCTCTCTGAGTATTGCAGGCAACACCTGAGTTGGAGTATGGTCGGATGAACATAGGGAGCCGCCCATCAAAACGAAAGGTTAGCGGTGGAATTGAATCACTCCGAGCAATCCCGTGGATATTTGCATGGACGCAGACGAGATTTCATCTTCCTGTCTGGCTTGGCTTTGGAGCTGCAATCAAACACGCCATTGGGAAGGATATTAGAAATCTTCAGACTCTCAATGATATGTACAAAGAATGGCCTTTCTTCCGAGTAACCATTGACTTGATTGAAATGGTTTTGTCCAAAGGAGACCCAGAAATTGCTGCTTTATATGACAAACTTTTAGTGTCAGAAGACTTGTGGCCATTTGGGAAGCAACTGGGGAACAATTATGAAGAAACTAAGAATCTGATCCTTCAGGTAAGGGCCGTCTTCTATTTAATAACCTTTTGCATAACTAGGACACGATTTTTTCTGTTCTTCCAAGAAATAGAAGGGGAGAAAACTTCGAGCTGAGAATACATGGTGGAAATTATTATTATTATTATTATTATTTTACATTCATTCTTTTCAGTTTGGACAGTGATTAAGTAAACTTCAATTGCTACTTTTTTCATGATTAGTGTTTAGTGCAACTTCCGCCTTGTAAGGGTTGTCTTCTATTTAAAAACCTTTCTTCACTAGAACATGAATTTTTCTGTCATAACTCCCAAGAAGCAGAAGGGGGAAAAACTTCGAGCTGAGAATACATATGGAATTTTTTTTTTCTTTTATTTATTTTTAGAAATAAAGTAACTGCAATTGCTACTTTTTTCATGATTAGTTCAACTTCCATTTAATGGAAGGAAGCTGATATGGTCTCTCTCTGCCTAGGTTGCTGGACACAAGGAACTTCTAGAAGGCGACCCCTACTTAAGGCAGAGACTTCGACTTCGCGATCCGTACATCACCGTCCTTAACGTGTGCCAAGTCTACACATTGAAGCAGATACGTGATCCAAGCTACCGCGTTAAGGTGAAGCCACATCTCTCGAAAGATGTAATGGAAATGGATATGAGCAAACCGGCTGCTGAACTGGTGAAGCTCAACCCTAAAAGTGAGTATGCTCCCGGGTTGGAAGACACACTTATCTTGACCATGAAGGGTATTGCAGCTGGAATGCAGAACACCGGTTAAGGTCGGGTCATCTTGCCTTTGCTAGATATATGGTGTCGGTTAAATTATAAAGAAATAACGAGTTACGTATTATGGCACTCTGTTGGAAAATATGTGATAATATTGCTCTATAAGCATGTACTCACACCAAGTACATATGAATGAATATACGTGTCTTCTTTTTCTTGCATAAATCTTGTATACATATGCATATGTGACTTTTCCCATCATCAGTAACAAGAATGAAGTATGTACAATAAGCCAAATTAAACTTGTGTTTTTCCACTAGCTACAATTATTGCCTCTTCAATAGCCTGGAAAAAAGTGGCAATCTTGTATGTCAAGAATCCCGCGAGCATTGATATCAACTCGAGGTGCATGAATCCATAATCCGGAACCAGAATCCTGTGTACAGATCAGTTTGATGAGATACCTACCTATAATCCAAGAATTGATATTGAACATGACAAGGAGATTTGGCAAACTTATGCTCTTTCTCAAGTTCTTACCCGTTCCACCTGTTATACAACATGACGAAGACAACATGAACCAATAACCTTGGCTGCTCAATTGCTCCTCCACGAGTAAAAACTTCTGATGAGCAAACCATATGGAGCCTAGTAGGTCATCTTCGCTCTTCCTAAAATAGAATATTGCAATGATATGACTCAACTTCATACCATAAACTTAATAAAGCCAAAAACATGTACAACCTCAAGTTTGAAGGATTAATGTAGCCAAGTCCAAACTCATTGCAAATAGCTTAGGGTGTGTTCTCTTTCTCATTTTCGGCCCGTTTTTTGTTTTCGATTTTTCAAAACAGTGAAAACTTGTTCTCTTACCCATTTTCGAAAACATGTTTTTGAAAATACAAAAAAATTTTGTGAAGAAAACGAAAAACGATCAAAATGTCGTTTTAGCTGTTTTCTATACAAAACTCCAAAAAATTACAAAATAGGGGAAACGCCTTTTGAAATACAAAACCAAATCTTCATCCACTTTCCTCAAATCCTTTCTCTGCCTTCTCTCTCTCTCTCTCCTGGACGTTAACTGTGGGTGATTGACCCTGACTATGGATGGTCACACACTTCAGCTAATGACGAAGGAGATGTACTGGTGTCGGCACCAACGTGGGGACGCGATGCTGCTATGAACGTAGTGTCACGACCCATTCATCGCGATAGCAGCATCGCGACCCAGGGGAGACGATGGGTCGCGATGTTGCAGTGGTTTGGGGCCGTCTTTGCCGACGATCGAAGAGAAAGAAGCTGCAGTTCATTGCGATGGGTGATCGACACTACAAATTTGTCCAGAATTTCCCTCTCTTTTGAGTTTTCTTTTTTTGTTTTTTTTTTTTT